TACTCAGAGATACTAAAAGCACTACAAAATTCATCAACATCTACAATGATAATGGGTGATTTTAATGCCAAAATTGGACAACCAACGCCCGAAGACAAAAGTAGTATAGGACCATGGGGATTTGGTGACAGAAACGAACGGGGTGAGTTATTAATTCAGTTTTGCTTAGAGAACCAATTTAAGATAAGTAGTACATATTTCAAGAAAAAATTAAAGAATAGATGGACTTGGGTGTCACCCAATGGTAAAACGCGTAACGAAATTGACTTCATTCTTACAAAAGATATAAGAGAAATGACAAACCTAGAAATAATAAATACAACCTATCCATCAGACCATAGACTTGTACGTGGATGCGTCAACATTAAAACTAAAGTAAAAAAGAACAGGAAAAAATTTTGTGCTCCAAAAAGACAGTTAACACCAAGTGAAAATGAATTCCTCAAAGGGATGTTTACAGAGTTATTAACTAATAATAAAGAGAAAGAAAACTTGCAAGAAAACTACAGAAACCTGACTAATATAATAGAAGAATGTATAAAAAAGTTGCCAAAAATACGTAAAGAAAAATTCCAATTTTGTCCAGAAATAAAAGAACTTATTAAAGAAAGAACGAAACTTAAAAGTAAAGAAAAAAAGACTAAAGAAGAAAAAAATATACTGTCAAAACTCTACCTCAAAATAAAAAGAATGATTAATAAAAAAAATTAGAATACCACTTAAAAATATTAGAAGAAGAGTTATTACATAAAGGCTCTACAAAAAATGCACAGAAACGACTCACTCTATCCAAAGAGTGGATTTCCTCACTAAAAGCAAATGATAACAAAAAAACTACAAATAGAGAACACCTTTTAAAAATAGCTACTGATTTTTACAAAAACTTATACAAAAGTCATAACGTGGAAAATAACATAAAGGATGAATTAATAAATAATAGTTGTATTGTGGATATAAACGACCGTATTCCGCCACTACTACCGTGCGAGATAAGTCATGCCATAAAAAAACTTAAAAGTGCAAAAAGTTCAGGAGAAGATAGTATTTCAAATGATGTTTTGAAAGCGATAAAAGAACCCGTCGTACCGATATTAACAAATATTTTCAACAAAATACTCGACCTAAGTCAAATACCAGAAGATTGGGCAAACTCTACTATCATATTATTGTACAAGAAGGGTGATCGACTAAATATCAACAACTATAGACCTATATCCCTATTGAATACAATTTATAAAGTTTTCACAAGTATATTACTTAATAGAATCAAACCCAAATTAGACTACATGCAACCGAGAGAACAAGCTGGTTTTCGTCCCAAGTTCTCTACAATGGATCACATCTTTGTTTTGACTCAGATAATGGAAAGATATAAAGAATATAACAAAACTCTTTACATCGCATTTATTGATTATTCAAAAGCTTTCGACTCTATTTACCATGACTCACTTTGGTTGGCGTTGAAATCTCATGGAATACATAACCAATATATAAGGGGACCCAATCTCACCTAATCTATTTACTTGTTTATTAGAGTACATTTTCTCAAAACTTGACTGGGGCAAACGAGGCATTAATATTAACGGAGAAATTTTGAGTCATCTACGTTTTGCAGACGACATTATCATATTAAGCGAAAATCACGAAGACCTTATATATATGGTTCAGTCTTTAGACATAGAAAGCAGAAAATGTGGCCTACAAATGAATCCAGATAAAACTTGTATATTGACAAATAGCACAAAAATGCCTGTACACGTTCAAAACCAACAAATTAGATATGTTAATGAATATATTTATCTTGGGCAAAATATTTCATTTCACAACTTAACAATGACGGAAGTTAATAGAAGAATTAAATTAGCATGGAGCAAATATTGGTCACTAAAACATATTTTCAAGGCAAAAATACCAATTAAATTAAAAAAGAAAGCGTTGGATACTACTGTACTCCCCACTTTATTATATGGATGTCAAAACTGGGCTCTCGCAAGGAAAATAATATCTAAGCTACAAGTTTTCCAACGAGCAACGGAACGCAGCAGCAGCTAAACGTTAAACTAAGACATCGACATAGAAACAGTGATATACGAAAAAAAAACAAATATCATAGACGCAGCCAAATTAGCGTGTCAACTGAAGTGGAGATGGGCAGGACACGTGGCACGAGTCAGTGATGGAAGATGGACTGAACGGGTGCTACATTGGCACCCGCGTGATGCGACGCGCTCGCGCGGCCGACCGCGGGCACGCTGGTGCGATGACATTGTAGAGGTGGCAGGAGCAACGTGGACGAGGCTAGCGGCAGACAGAACTTCATGGAAAAGGATGGAGGAGGCCTTCACCCGGAAATGGGTATCCCATAATTAATTAAAATTAATATAATAAATTATGACTCTATTTTATGTGTATAGCCAAATTCAGCAGATTATTACTAATTTCAATTTTATTATTTTAACTATATATTTTGTGACAAAAATCAAAATAAGTTGACAATTACTTGAAAATATAAATATAAATTGATTATTTACCTTAACATTATTTATAAATAATCAAAAATTAATTTTGTAAATTTACTTTAAACTTTTTTATTTAAAATTGACACCGGCATTATCATGTCTTTTAATTAAAAAAAAAATTGCATGACTCATAACAATATTGTATTTGGTTTTAACTAATATCGACTGTTGTATGAAAATTGGGAATAAAATGGCTATTATTATGGGGTATCTATATAGTTTTCTCATCTGGTTGGGTTCTATAAATATATAATTATAAATGAAAATGAAAAGATAAATATACATAAATATCAATAACATAAAATAAATATAAAAGTACATAAATAAATGAAAGCCCAACCAGATGGAGGCCCTCGGCAGTGGAGACCAAACGGCCGAGGGTTAGGGGTAAGGGAAAGAAACCGGCGGACGATGCGGGCGGTATCGAGGAGCACCGCCTTCTGCATTTGAATCTGGAGCGGTCCGCCACGTAGTCCCAGCCGCCTCAGATGACCCGAGAGGCTGACTGGGATTAGCCCGTTTGCAGAGACGACTACAGGAATAATTTCGGTCGGCAGACCACCCCACATGTCGGTCACCTCGTGAGCCAGGTCCAGATATTTTGTTTGCTTGTCTGTTTCGGCTTTCACGAGGTTCTCGTCATACGGAATGGTAATGTCGACCAAAAATATCCTTGACTGTGCCCGGTCCATCAGCACAATATCAGGCTTATTCGCAAGAATACTCCTGTCTGTGATGATGGCCCGGTCCCAATAGAGCCTGGCGCGATCATTTCCGAGCACGGCTTCCGGCAAGTACTTGTAATACGGCAATTTCCGATCCACGAGACTGAGTTCCTGGTGTAGAATTCTGGCTACTAGGTTGTGCCTGTGCAAGTACTCAAAGTTAGAAAGTGCCTAACAACCGGAAATGACATGCCTAAGTGACTCACCGGGATGGTGACAAACTCGACAGGTGTCGACAGTGCCATCCTTTAGGATGTATCTCCGATAGTTGTTGGTCTTAATAACCTGATCCTGTATTGCACAGACAAAACCCTCGGTTTCCCCGAAGAGATCACCAAAGCGTAGCCAGTGGAGGGAGGCTACTGTGTATACGAAAGGCTCATGTAGAGCCTTGTAGAACCTCCCGTGGAGCTCCTTCTCCTTCCATACGGTCTCCCGGTCGGAAATGCTCTGCACTGCCGGGTCTTGCCATTGCTCGTTGGCTAAGGATAGAGGGGTAAGTCCTTTATCACAAGAAATGACGTCCTTATAGAATGGATCATCCGATCTCGCTAGGAAGTAATCACGGAGGCTGCACACTTCGCGATTATGCATGGTGAGCGCGCTCAAGAAGCCACGACCATCATGCTTCCGCGACAAGTACAGCCTCATTACCGACGATCTCGGATGATGCATCCTATGGGACGTCATGGTAGTGCGGACTTTTCTATCCAGGGCGTTAAGTTCAGTCTGAGTCCACCTGAGTATGCCAAAGGTATACATGAGGACAGGCATGACCCAGCCGTTATATGCGTGTGCCTTATTCACACCGGACAAAAGGCTGTTAAGCACTTTGGTCAAGCGTGCATAAAACACGTCGCAAACTGACAGTTTCATACCAGTAACATCGATACCGATGTTTTGTGACATACCCATGTATCGGTATGTTTCAGCCTCGGAAAGGGTCCTTAAGTTGACGGGCATAGATAAGTCTACGCCCTCAGAGTTAGCAACCCTTCCCCTTTCAACATGGAGGACCGCACACATATCCGTCCCAAGCTCCATTCCAATGGAATTGCTAAATTCACAAGTGATGTTTAGCAATTCCATAAGATGGGAGCGACTGGAGGCGAATAACTTGAGGTTATCCATATAGAAAAGGTGGGTCACTTTTTTTCCCTCCTTTCCGTAGCTGAAATCCCCTCCCGGAGCCCTCCAGTAAGGTACTGAGAGGGTTCAGAGAGAGGCAGAACCAGATTGGACTCAGACAATCGCCCTGGAAGATACCCCTTCTTATCCTTATGTGGTTCTCCGCAGCCATCATCCGCTCGCCCAGATGACAAAAGATCGTACTCCACTGCCCCATACACTGCTCGAGGAAGTCTCTAACTGTACAGTCTATCTTGTACAGCTCGAGGACTCTCTTTAGCCATGTATGGGGCACCGAGTCGAATGCCTTTCTGTAGTCTATCCAGGCGGCGGAGAAGTTCCGACGGTTGCGTTTCACCACTTTGCCAATGACCGCGTCAATGAGGAGTGGTTCCTTGGTTCCACGACCACCGCCCCGACATCCATTTTGAGCGCGCGACATCACCTGATTTGAGTCCAGGTGACAAGTGATTCTCGCGCTCAAAATGGATGTTAGTGTCTTGTATATGGTCGGTAGACACGTGATGGGGCGGTATTTGCTCGGGTCTGTGTTACCCTGGTCTTTAGGAACCAAATGAGTGATCCCAGTAGTGAAGAGGCTTGGGAGCGATTTCTGGTTGAGAGCCTCTTAAAACTGTCGGGCGAGCACAGAGTGACACACCATGAACCCCTTCAGCCAGTAGTGATGCAGCCCGTCAAGCCCCGGACTTTTCCAGTTCGGGGCCCTACGGACCGCCTCAGCTACGTCATCCGGCGTTATGATGACGGAGTCCATGGGCGTAATACCCGCACACTGACTCGCCACAACTTCCGTCCAAGGGCACTCGCTGTGGTTTACGGGCTCTGACCACAGGCCGTGCCAGAATGCTACAGTGTCGGCCTGATTCGGTGCTGGACCCGTTCCACTTACCATTGGTCGCTCCAATGATTCATAGAGCCTCTTCTGATCACTCTGGAAGAGACGATTCTGGTTGAACCGTTATTATTATCATTATTATTATTAAAATCCGTCTGTCAACACAGCGAATCGGATTTGTAGTAGTGATTAACTGATAATACGACGTAATTGCTTGTATGTGTGCTCCCGGCGACGCTGAACCTCGGTACAAAATAAAGTGGACAGCCATTCTATTGTGTATTATAGTATTCTACGATTATTCTAGTTCTACTGACCTCGTGATTTCTAATTTGTTAAGTATTTGAACAGGACCGAATTGATCCAAAGCAAATTAGGCAATTACCTACCTATGGGTCAAGCAATTTTAAGAGAAATAAGAAATCAGAAATAAGGTCACTACAAGTCTTAATCTGGCCCTGCTAACGACGCCAGGGAAAATGATATTTGAAAATTCAAGGATATTTTACATCATAACAATAACAAATCCTTGGAGTATACTTAAACCATCATATATATGCTCTTAGAACAAAACACTAATGGAATCAATGATTTCTAAATATATAAGTATATTAGTATATTAATTTTAAAATTTATAGAATTATAAATGGAATTGTCATTTTAATATTTATATAAAAATAATATAATCTTTACCGTACTTATGTAATACAGATTTGTAACATCTCGTCTTAGAACAACAAAGAAAGATAGACAAAGGGCTGCTTTCTTTACAAGTGACATTGAAACCCAACCCAAACCATGCTCAACTTATTGTAAGAACCTATGCTCAAAGGTAAGAACAAGCACTGACACATACATATTGGTTGGGCTGAAAAGTTCGTATCGTCTCTATGAGATGGCGCCACTAGAATAAAATCCATATAATTTTTAGGTAGTACCAACCTTCAAAAGAAACGTGTATAAATTCAAAATGACAGCTGTCTGATTATTAGTTTGTGAGATACAGCATTTTGAGTGAAGCAACTTTTGTTATTTTGAAAAAAATGGATAAAAAGGAATTTCGTGTTTTAATGAAACACTATTTTTTGATGAAAAAAAGTGCTGCTGATACCAAAAAGTGGCTTGATACGTGTTATCCGGACTCTGCGCCGGGCGAAGCAACCATTCGTAAGTGGTTTGCCATATTCCGTACAGGCCATATGAGCACCGAAGACGATGAACGCAGTGGACGTCCAAAAGAGGCTGTTACGGACGAAAACTTAAAAAAAATCCACAAAATGATTTTGGAAGATCGTAAATTGAGGTTGATTTGTATAGCTGGCACTCTAAAGATATCAAAGGAACGTGTTGGACATATCGTTCATGAATATTTGGGTATGCGAAAGCTATGTGCAAAGTGGGTGCCGCGCGAGCTCACAATCGACCAAAAATAAGAACGTGTCGATGCTTCAGAGCAATGTTTGGAGCTGTTCAACCGCGAAAAGAAGTGAATTTTGCATCGATATGTGACAATCGATGAAACATGGATCCACCACTACACTCCGGAGTCCAATCGGCGGTCATCTGAATGGACTGCACGCGATGAACCGAATCCAAAGCGTGGAAAAACTCAACAGTCGGCCGGTAAGGTTATGGCGTCCGTATTTTGGGATGCACATGGAATAATTTTCATCGACTATCTTGGAAAGGGAAAAACCATCAACAGCGACTATTATATAGCGTTATTGGAGCGTTTGAAGGACGAAATCGCGAAAAAACGGCCCCATTTGAAGAAGAAGAAAGTGTTGTTTCATCAAGACAATGCGCCGTGTCACAAATCGATGAAAACGATGGCAAAATTGCATGAATTGGGCTTCGAATTGCTTCCGCATCCACCGTATTCTCCAGATTTGGCCCCCAGCGACTTTTTCCTGTTCTCAGATCTCAAGAGAATGCTCGCTGGAAAGAAATTTAAAGCCGATGAGGAAGTAATCGCCGAAACAGAGGCCTATTTTGAGGCTAAACACAAATCGTACTACAAAAATGGTATTGAAAAGTTGGAAGATCGCTATAATCGGTGTATCGCCCTCGATGGCAACTATGTTGAATAATAAAATCGAATTTTGCCAAAAAAAATGTGTTTTTCTATAAAACAATACGAACTTTTCAGCCCAATATGCATCTAAAATCTATTGCAATCAACATTCTGGTTTTAGATATACAACATGTAACAAAAACCCTGTGGTTCCCGTTAAGTGTGTTATCAGAATCAGTACCCAAGCATATAGAATTTAAAAAAAAACACATTAAAAAAATTAATTTTGACGAAAAAAAAATTAATTTGCAAATTGTATGTGGTTTTATTTCCTCTAACTCACATGAGTATCGGTACTGCGGGGTTTTTAACAATCCTCTTACTCCTCGGCCATTGCAGAGATAATAAAACCGCATACAATTTGCAAATTTATTTTTTTTCTCATTAAAATTATTTTTTTTAATGTGATTTTTTTTGAAAAAAATTATTTCTATATGCTTGGATACTGCTTCTGATAACGCAGTTAACGGGAACTACAGGGTTTTTGTTACATGTTGTATATGTGTGTCCAGTAGTCACTGACCTCTATATATACAAGTGTCAGCGGCAGTAGTGGACCTATGGCTGTTAAAAAAAGAAAGAATAAAGACGTGTGACGTGGCATGTGTGCGTATCAAGAAGTTGTGTTCCGTGTCACATTAAGCGCAGTAACTTCGCTTGACATTAGGTTACGGCGCTGATTTGAATAACGCACGGAACAATCATTTGTATGGCCTACAAATAATTTTTTCGGGTCTGGATGTTTTTGCCTATGCAATTTGTGTTTGAAAATTGCCTCCACGATACAGAAGAAAATTCTAGTATGGGGGGGTAACGTTTTAAAAAAAAGAATTTAAAAAGTAAAATGTACACAGCGCTACATCTATGTTTCTTTTTGGTCTGGGTATCACGTAAATATTGATTTTTCTAATGATATTTGGTATAATTGACCATATAAGTATGTGTTAGTGTGAGTTGATAAAGGCATGTGTATGTATAATGTCCTGTTCCAATAAGCAATGACTTGTTTTTCTGTAACGAGCCGATGTATTATCTGTTTCTATAACAATTGGTTCTATAACGTACGAAGACTTTGTTATTACGAAAAAACGGATCCTTATGAAAAGTGAGATGTTTTGTGTATGAAAGGAACTGGGCAAGAATTGAAATGTGTTTTGTTTACGGTTATAGTGCGGAAAAGAATTGAATTGAATTCTAAGGTCTCCGGTTATGAACCTCTAGCTTAAAAATCTTTGTTATTTAAAAAAAAAAACGAAATTAAATTTAATTATATATAATGATTACGTGATTTTTATTTCCCTATAATCATAATCAGGATATCCACCGCTGGCTATCTTGCTGGTTCTTCCAAGGACAGAGTTTTTGCCGAACCAGTGGTAAAAGTGAAGAATGACTTTCTATAAGAATAACATGTAATCTAAGTATATTAAATAAAAACGATTATATACTACTCTATTCACAATAAAACCAAAGTAAGTACCTAATCAACGTAATCTTGGGTGACCTTGAATGGTCTAAGACCGTAATCCAACGGGTCTTACTAATACGTTGTTAGACCCGTAGACAGAGATTTTTTTATTAAACTGGCTTTACGGCTCTGGGTTCTAGTCCTTCTGAGCCTATCATTTCTTTCGCAATCATCATTTTTATATTCTTTTTCTTCCCAATATGTTGATGCATCATATTGCGAAGCCCTTGGGAGATTTTTACGACAGCTCAACCCAACGGATAGTTGATGACGACAGCCATTAAAGTTTATGAGGCGCCCAAGCGAATCGACATCAAAGCACATGTTTCGCTGTTTTCTCTAATACATAGTTCACACGCGCGGACACTTAATTCACAAAATCCTATCACTTTTACGAATCAAAATCCACTTCAAACCATTATTCAAGCAACAAAACAGGAGTGACAATCCGTCTACGGCCAAGTTCCCGCCAAAACTCCACGTTAGACTTACTGAAGTAAATATCATAGATAATACACTATTATACCAGAGAGCAACAATGTGCCATGCATATAGCTTGAAGAACCGACAACCGACGGAAAGATACGTGTGCTGCCTTGTAAGACAAACAGGCAGCCGATGGACGCAAGTAGAATTATGCTTTTTAGCGTTCCTTAGGGAAGGCATAGGATTCACAGACTAACAAGTGGATTCTACCGAATATAAGATCAGTCATGGAGGTTAGAGAACAAGAGAACGATCGCAGCAGAAAAAAGTGTACCAGAAATATGGACAAAATAAGTGAGGCGCTGCGATCGCTAAGTTGTCTCAATAAAAGCAGGCTGTTGTGCGCTAGTTTGAAATGAATACAATATCATTCAAAGAAAAAAAAAGAAAATAACGAAATTATTATTATTTATTAATAAATAAATTATAAATAATGTTTTTTTATATTTTTAATTATTATCTATATTATAAATTATAACAAATATAAAATAGTCATTATTATTGATTTTATTTTAATAATATTTCACCATTGTATAATGTTTCTTTTTGTCAATAATGAAAAAATTACTTCGCAGATACTAGGTAGGTACTTACTTACCGACGACAGCGCGGCTATATAAATTCTACAAATTTTCAAGGACAGGCGGGCTATGCTTTAGCCCGTAGCGAACGTTCTCCTGTTCTCTAACCTCCATGGGATCAGTAATGGACTTGTTATGGAGTGTAAAAGTAAGGAGTACCAACTCCCATAGTAGAATAGTTGAAAAAGTGGTCATCTGTAAGCAGTAAATAACGGTTCAAAAACTCTCCACAACAGCGCTGGAGTAGCTACTGGGATGAAATGAACTTAGCAGTTTCAACGGTTTGAAGTGTGCTGCTAAACTGCTCACTAGCTCTAAAATCTAAACTAATTTTATTTAGTTAATGTAGCCTCGAAAAAGTCGTCTATCCCACTAATATTTTTCGGTCCGTTCTTTAAAATATACCCCGTAGCTATATAGTGGCGCCACCTTATTTAAAGGTTTTTAT